ACTGCATAACTCTATTTTTTGTTGTTTAATTCGAATGCTAATTGTTAAAAATCATTAAAAACCAATTTCGAAAATAACAGATCATACAAGCTTTATAAGACAATGACAAAGAAGATAGAAATTTGAACAAAATTGACAATTAAGAAATATATTAAATAGCAGTGCAAAAATGTATTGTGATTTTTATTACAAAAGATGCATTACATACGTTATGCGTACGAAATAATATGCTGTAAAATGTTTTAAAAACCGTTAGTATATCATATACATAAATCATTAAAAATAAACAATTTTATATATTATTTTATATACTATTTTTTTAAGGGATTCAGTGAATTGTTAATATTGGTGTATTTTTGAGAGTATGTATTTGCATATTCAATTCTAACTCGAGGAATTCAATAAGGAAATGTTAATAAATTGTATTCGAAAAAATGCCAATCCTACACCAGCGTATGGTACGATAAGATATAATGGAGCAGTTAAATTTGAAAAAAATGGTAATAAATATTTTAACAATTCTCCACGCAGTACGTATATTGGATTTTCGCCACCGTGCACAAAAATAAATAAATGGTTGGAAAAATCGGTAAATAATTAAACATTTCAATTTCACTTTCACAAGCTAAAAAGTAAAAAAAAAACAAAAATTAACTTATTTTTAGAAAAACAAAAAAACAATAGAAAAGAAAGATAGCGTATGCAAAAATTCCATAGAATCCAGCATTCTATCATGTTGTGGAAAAGAAAGTAGCCATTGTACATGTAAGGACGAGGAATCGTTAGAAAACAAAAGAAAAAAGCTGAGCAAAGAGTCTTCAATTTGTTACACAAACTGGGAAGAAATCCAAAAGTTAACAGACACTTCAGAAACGAAATTAACAGATTCATTCGAGAGATTGTTTAATTGTATAAAAAATAGCACAGATACAAACATATATCTAGATCTGTTTGAACCTTATCCTCGAGAAGAACGACGAATAAAAGGGAAAGATTCAACACCACCTGTATATAATATAACTCTGATTCTTCCGCAGTGTATTTGCTTAAAAAGTAAACTATCAATGTTACATAAATCTCTCAAAAATCTCAATTTACATAAAACATTATTAGCGATTATTATGATTACATGTGATTTTTTTAATTTCATTCATATCTACCGAAGTTTTCTTCTCGTTTATGTTCTGCATTTACATTACACTTCTTCATTCAAATTAAAATTCATACATGAAACTATAACTTCTCAGGCTACACACACAATTATAAATACATTACGCTCTATTTTTCAATTATAAAATGTCTTGTATAGATTAAATATTTTTTAGTATTCCTTAATATTTCAAATATATTACATATCGACAGATTATCAACAAAGCAAACAACTTGAAAACAACAAGAATGATGAAAATATTTACGAGAAATCCGAAACTATAAGCGAATTGATATGTGCACCTAGTATCATAGAATTTTCATGGAATGTAATGCAGTCTGGTATAATTGAGAAGATACCACAGAAATATGTAACAAATATTTTTGAGTAAGATGTTATTTTATCATAAAATAAAATGTTTGCACTTTTTATCCGCGTAAGTATAATTTATATTTTTTAAATTACAGAAATGAAAAAAATGAGTCAATAGATTTGAACGACTGTTCTAATATTCAAAAAAACATACGTACAGAAGAAAATTCTAAAATAACATATTGTTTGCATAAAGTATTTTTAGAGAAGATAAATAAATCATATTTTTCGATGTAATTAATATGAATAATTAATGTCATTGATAAAATAATATTAAAAATGATATAATATCCTAATACATATTAGTAGTATTTTTTAAAAATCAGTACTGTTTGAAAAAATTACTTGATAAATTATATATTCATCAAAATCATTCAATTTAAATATCATAAAAATCATATAATTATCTAAAATATGTCCGAATCGATAGTATTTGCTCAGATCAATTTAAACGAAACATCCAACATGTATGGAATTAATCATCGGAAAGTAATGGTACAGCGTTGTCACGCTTGAAGCAATTTGGCCCTCAGTGAAGCGGTTTTTGTATAAAAAATAATCGCGGAGAGGAATAATTAATTTTTAACAAACTACTGTTTTGTTCAAAATATAATTTAATCAAAAATGGTAAAATTATTTATAATTAATACTTAGAATTTTGTTTTTTATCCACGTGCAATTTTATAGGTTATATTTCACACGTGATGAAACGTTTACATTTAATTAATATAAATATGAAAATAATTATATTTATAATACAAAATAATTGTACTTATAATAATACTATTATTATAATTTTCATTTTCTAATTATTTACATTTCTTTTGTAGGGAGATGAAGTTAATCCTAAAGCGTATCCTTTAGCAGACGCTACTTTGACTGCTAAAATTTTGAATTTAGTGCAACAAGCAATGAATTATAAACAATTGAGAAAAGGAGCTAATGAAGCAACAAAAACATTAAATCGTGGTCTATCAGAATTTATCGTAATGGCTGCAGATGCAGAGCCTTTAGAAATTTTGTTACATTTACCATTGTTGTGCGAAGATAAAAATGTACCATATGTATTTGTTAGAAGCAAGCAAGCTCTAGGTCGTGCTTGTGGTGTATCTAGACCTGTTGTTGCTTGTTCTGTGACAGTTAATGAAGGATCACAATTAAAACCACAAATTCAGGCTATACAGCAAGAAATCGAACGTCTTTTAGTTTAAATACTTTGTACCTGATTCAAAATCATTCTTTTTAAATTTAAATGTAATCAAATTGTCATTTTTATATTTTTATGCAGAATTTCTCAAAAATTGAATTTCATATATCTTTTATGTATAAAAATGCAAATGTAAGTCAACTTTTGAATAAAAACTTGAGTGGAAAGTATTGATATTATTTGTATTACTGAATAATTTAAAATAAATCTTTCTTATTGCATAGAAAATTCCTGATCTTTTATGATTAATTTTCATGTTGTATAAAAAGAAATATAATATTTCATTAGAAAAATTAGAAATTATTGTTTTTCAAAAACTACAAGTTTAAAAAATTTACATATTTTATTGTATATGTTTTCATTATTTTGGTATATTTATCATTTGCGAGAAATGTCCATAATAAAACAAACATTACTGTATACTTATCTAATAATAATTAATATTAAATTAATTTATTCAAATTATATTTTATTCTTAGGAATGATGATTAAAACAATAAGATTTAGACATTTTTCTTCACACATCTAGTTTACAACCATAAAAAATTGGGTAAGTAATGAAAAGGATATAAAAGGATATAAATAAAACATACATAAATAAATAAAATATATATTATAAAAGTTATATGTAGAAAACAAAAAATATAAGTATCAATGAAATTAATAAGCTATAAATTATTAATTAAAATAAGGTAAGGTAATAGAAGTCCAATTACCGTGCCATCGATTTTTTTGAAATCTGTGCAATTCCTCTCGAAATTTTTTGTCTAATTGATGTTGAATATTATTATTAGGAAAGTTTTCGAAAAACGATTTTAATTGTTCTGCTAATTCCTTGTCATTTGAAAAGATCATTCCATTTTCATTGTGTTTAACAAGTTCTGGTAAACTGAAAAATGAAAACATTGTACAGAAAATCTATATATAAAATATAAATATCAGAGTATATTACATAAATTTCAATCTTTTTTAATAATTTTTCAACAAAAAGTAAAAAGATCTAAATTTAAACAAATAGAAATTATACCAAGATATGTTATATTATCCTGCTTACCATTTAAAGTTATATGCACAAACTGGAAGCTCACAACCAAACATATCAATAACTTTCATAGGTAAATCCAATCCACTAGATGATGTATGAAGACAAATACCTAAATCCGCGCTTGCTATAAATAAAAATTATATTCCTTATATACAAAAATATATTTTGGGGGAATTAATATAAAATACTATTCATTTCAGTACCTAACATTTTGGGATAGTCTTCATTTTCAAGCCATGGTGTTAGAATTGTAATATGTTTCCAATTTTTTAATTTTATGACCGCTACATAAAATTCTTTCAAAGGACCTTTACCAGTTATTATACAAATTAAATCAGGTAATTTGCAAGTTTCTTGATTAAAAGCATTTTCATATTCTGCAAAATAAAAAACTTGAGATATAAAACAATAATTTAACAATAAATATAATAATAACTGTTAACTCAATTACTAATCACAATAATATAACGCATACCCTGTAATGCATTTAATAGTATTGAAAAATCTTCATCTTCTGTCCAACTTGTACTTGATACAATAAAACCAGGCCTTTTAGGAGATAACTGTACCTCATTTTCTATATATTCTGTAAATACAGTTGAATTTTCTTTGAAACCTTTCAATTCTTTATATTTCTCACTTAACTTTAATAGAAACATATGTTTTTCTCTTAATGATATAGGCTGAAATTCATCTGATGGACGATCGTATAATACATCAGCTCTGAATAAACGAAAAAAAGTATTAAATTTGAATTTGAAAATAAAAATTGTACATGAAATAATACTAACTTGATTCCCCATTTTAATTGTAAATCTTCCTTCATTGCTCGAGACACACAGAAATTATAATTTGCTTTTAAACCAAAATATGTTTCAATTATTTTTGCAAGTTTTACAAGTAAATGATCATCTTTCAAACTCAATGCCATAAGAGTATGAGCATAATTATGCCAATCGATAATAAATTTTGAGCTAACAATGACAGAATAAAACCAACAAATTGGAATTGTTGGTATTGCAGGTGGATTCTGTATTAATATATAGCTTGATATATGTTTACCAAATAATAAAACCCATAAAAGGTTAAATGTTTGCCATATGGTTTTTATCACATAATAAGCCGAACGAGATAATTCTGAAATATTAAAAAGAACATTTTTATTCTCAAATTATACTCTTCTTACGGTAAAATTGATCAAAATAAAAAAAGTATTAGTTCAATGAGTAATAGTACATACGTACTGTCTTCTATACTTGGAGGAGGATAAAGGTAATAAATACGCACAGAAGGATTTTCTCTTATTTCTTTTAAGGGTAATGAATCAGGATAACCTACAATATCCACCGTAAAACCTTCTTTTATAAACGACATTGCATGGTATTGCATTCTGGGACTCCTACCCAAGTCTCCAAGAACAACAATACAAACATTTTTATGTCTTTTATATACATTCAAATATAATTTTCTAATTAAAAACAAAATTACAAGGATTGTACAAAGTAAACAAAGGCTCCACATGTTGAAGATTTAAAATGTGTAATCACCCTAGAAATCAAACAATTTTATGTACATATTTTATCACTAGATAATATACCACTCTAAAAAATAAGAAAATTCTATATAATGTTAGAAATACAGATCTATAACAAAATTCAGAAAATGTCTTTATTTATTGTTAATAACAATTTTCTTATGTATTTATCTAATATTTCTGTCAGTAATATCAATAATTAATGTTTCTTAACAATAATATATTAAACATAATAAATTATATTACAGATTATTATACATATTTGTTCATATATAAATGCATGTAGTATCTAATATGGAAATATTAACTTCTTAGATAATTAAAGATAAAAAAGTAAAAAAATGTTTGATATATGATAAAAATAATAATCGATTTTATGGTTTAGTTAATTATAGTTTACTTTTTGTAGTTTAGTTAATCGATTTTACATTTTAGTTTCGTATTTATATTAGTTTTATCTTTGTAACATCGTTAATCTACAATTAATTAACTGTGTATCTGCATACTATATGATACGATATAAGTAATATACTTTATATAATAATAGCTAAAATATTACTAAGTAAAATTAATAAGTAATATATTTTATATAATGATAGCTAAAATACATATTACTATTAATTTTATTATATTTCAAATACATTTTAATTAGTTAAAAATAAATATCTTATCTATCTATAAAGTAAATTTTGTATAAGATATATTTGTATAAAATATATTTTGTATAAAGTATATAATACAATAATTTGTCTTAATTACTATAGATCTATTACTTTCATCTATTCTATTCTATTTTATTAATATATGTACGTGCAAAGATTCATGTAAGAAAAACAAAAATAACTAAACTGGGAAATTTAATCTTTTTAATATTGTCAACAATGGTCTAAAGCAATTAAGGACTATATAATTAGATCTTATCTATAGTATACATACACGCATCGTGGCGCCAAAATTTTACACTATTTCTGTATAAATAGCAAATTTCGTATTATTTTATTTTATTATTTAATTTTCATAGTTTCGAAGTTTTTCTCAAGTAGTGATGAAGAATGAAAAATATTATACAGTATTTTGAGGACGCTGTGTCACAATCTAACGGTAACATATCAATGCATTCCAATAATGATACGAAAGAAGAAACAAAGTATAAAAATTCTAAAGAGAAACGTAATCATGTGAAAATTAAAATATCTCGAACGAACTCTAAAGAAAGGGTGTGTGACATCGTAGAAGATGGCAATGATATGGTTAATAAAACGCCTAGTCCATTTGCTAAACTAAATAACAAAGATAAAAAATCACCCAAACAATCTTGTTCTCCAAAAAGTATTCGAAAGATTTTAAAAAAAAACAAATCAACAGATCAACCTTTGGATTGTTTAAAATCAGAAACGAGTAACTTGAATGTCAAAAATGAAGAGCAAGGAAATAAGGAAGATAATACTCGAATTTGCTCAAGTAATAATAAAAAATATAAAAAAGGCTCAAACAATAAAACAAATATCAATGAAAATCTAAATATAGATAATACAATGAAAACTAAGCAAATTATTGATGATGTACAGGTAATAAATATTGATTCCAATGAAATTGAAAGTCGAGAAGAATCAAATGCTTTCCAAATTCTTATGAATCGTAACAAGGTGACTCACTGTGTATCACCAGTAAAACTATTTCCTCAAAATGAGGAAATAACTAATAAAAAGTCAGAAGAATATAGAGAAAAATTAAAACGTTCTAAAGAGAAATTAATAGGATTAGCTGATAAAAAAGGATATTCTAAGAGAAAACTTATAGAGATAGAAGAAGCAGAAAAAATAGAACAGGTGATACAAAGTCGTGTAAAAATGTTTAAAAGTGAAGAGAAGAAGAATAATGCGAATACAAATGTTTCAAATCATAAACATTCACCTGGTAGTTTGTTAAATTATTTCAGGTAAAGAGCTAACAGTTTCATTTTTCATTTTACCTATTTTCTTATTTTTAATACTCTTTTTTTGTGCTTATTTTATTCATAACAGCAAAACTCCAATGAATTTAGTACATGCAGCTATGACAAATATGTCCACCACTGTAGTAAAAGCTGACGTACACATGACAGAAAACAACAGTAGATGTAATTTACATAAATCAAGTTTAAATAATAAAGTACAATCAAATAAGAAAACTAATGAATTTGAATTCTCCCAAATGGAAGACATTAGAATCATAGAATCTGAAAATGTTGATGTCTTGAAAGATAATAAAAAACAACAGAATAAACAGCTTTACAAGCATAGATGGTCGTTGAGAATAAAACTTCAAACTTATGAAAATGAAAATGCTTCACCAGGTATTTTACTTTATTTTTATTTGTTTCACTTAAGTACTATTTTTAATTTATTATATAAAAAAAGAAATATGTATGATGAGGAAAAATGTATGAGAGTCTCCCAAATTATAAAAAATATTTTGGTCGAAGGCAATGAATTTTACACTTTGATCGCTGATTTGTTAGTTTTATCATTTTATTACATATACATTTGTGATATATTTCTTTAAAATAAATGTTTTACTTTTTAAATAGGTGATAGCAGTGATGAAGAATTATTCTCACCAACAAATAAAGTTAAATTAAATATGAAGAATCGTAAAAAGTTTGGATCAATTAAAGATTCAGATTTAGAAAACTTGTCAACAAAAAAAAAAAATGAAAAAAAGATATCAAATATCAATATTAATAGAAATACAGAATTAGAATTAAAAAAACATGAACATTCGGAAAGTTTGGAGAATAATAATAAGTGTTTAAATGACAAATTTGAAAATAAACAGAAATTCGTTAAATTTGGTCAGCAGGAATTAACTTTGATAAAAGATTTTAATACAAATGTAAAAAATTGTGATAATATTAATTTAGGAAATATTGCAGAAGATAAACAAAGCGAAGAAGATTGTATTGTAATTATTAATAAGAAATTAGCCCCTTTATTTACAAAACGAAGAAAGCTAAATCCAGAAGTGATCGAGGCACGACGATTATTTTTACAGCCTGATACGATGGATAATAA